CTTCTCCTAGTCTTTGTGGCCAAAAAATATCACACTTTCTTGTCCTACGTGGGTAAGATTGAATAGTAAACGAGGTGAATTATATTGATTGTGGTTTGAAGCCTGTTAGATGTTTGTTGATAGATAAATGTACGTTGAATTGAGTCCGAAAATCACCGATTTGAAGATCCTTGGAGAGAGCTTCCGCAACACTAACCATCTAAAACACCTTTGTTCTTACTAATTTCAGCATTAGATCAATGGAAAAAGATAAAGAAGTAAACCCTTTAGTTACATTTAAATCAACCTCTCTGTTTTCAAAAGAAGTTACAGTTGAAGCCTATTATTGCTTAATAAATGCATCAGAATCTATAAGACAGCCTTTTAACATGAGTTTGGTGTAGGTTAAATTATATTTTTCAAAATTTTGATTAAAGTTGATAAAAATATATTGTTCAAAAGTGGATAAAAATTAAGAATTTCACAAAATATGTGATTAAAATTAATTATGATTTTTGACTTAAATTTTTGAGTAATGCTATTTTAACCTTATTGGAGTTGCAACCCCAATTTAGGTGACACTAATGTAGCGTTAATTGATAGGTAGAATAAAATAATTCATTTAATTTTACCTTTCATTTAACTTATCATCTAATACCATCTAAATTGGGATTCTAACCCACTAGGATTACATAACATTACTCTAAATTTTTATCTACTTTTTAAGTCTCGTCAAACAAGGGCTTATTCTTACATCACCTAACACATTTTCTATTCTTTTTTTATTTTTTGGTGACTGCTCGCATATATTTCACGAATTCATTAACAGTTTCATTTTAGAACCAAAAGCCGGAATCAAATATGTAACATGCCATGTTCCACGGTTTATATGGGCAGGTTGAATTACAAAAATCTGGCATTTGTTTAGCCAAATTCAATTGATATAAGAGCATCTTCAAAATATTCTTTAAATACAAAATACTCTCTATTTTAGAGAGTCAATATTTAAAGTTAAGTTTCAAGAAACTTTTTATTTTAATTTTTTAAAATAGAGAGTATATTTGGTTTTCCAAATTTAGAGTGTCAAACTTACTATCTATTCTTAATGTACAGTGATTGCATTTAATAAATTACAAATTTCAATACTTTACAATTTAAATTATTCAAATTACATTTGAATTGATTGGCTAATATGAGGAAAAATTATTAAATTTTCATTAGAGAAAACAAATAACTAATCAAAATGGTGAGCTTGTTGTAGTATATGAAAAAAAAAAATGCTCTCTAAATTTAAATATATTCTCTATTATGCATAAGATACTCTTTATAAATAGAGAATCTCTTGGAAATAATCTAAGGAAATAATATATTTATATTAAAATTACTTTAACTCAATTGTAATCCTTAAATCGTACATGCAAAAACACTTGGAGGAAAAAAAGCGAAGTTCTGGATGATGAGTACATGACTGGCCATTGCTAATGTTCTTCCTTATCTTGACTCACGTCATCTTCATCAATGAGTAAATCCTCATTATAATCGTCTTCCTACTTCATTATCCCTGTAGTAGGATTGAAGGGGTAGCACTTTGGGAACTCACATTTGTACAGAATTAAATGGAAATTTTATTTTTTCTAATGTGAGAGATTGTTTATCTATGATAGGAACTCATTTAAATGGATAAAAATATATGTATTGAGGGGGATTATCGAATGGTGTCCCCCCTCTCACAATGTATGGTGGGCCCGGCATGAATTTAAGAATGACGGCTCATGTTCTCCATTCCTGTTGTGAGTAGTAGGTAAAAGATTCGGTAAAAAATTCGGTATGTGTAGCATTGTCCGATTTTAGTTAATACAACTTACGTGGACATAGTGCTTAGTTTCATTCATTTTCATTGATGTAGATGATAATGAGAATGAACATTTGACAATTTTCTTATCAGTGCGGTATAAAATAAAATAAAAAGAGTTTTTGCTACCTCTTCTGAGAAAGGTTGAGATTAAAGGATAAACAAAATTAATGATTGAGTAAGAAAATCCATGATCTATGTTAACAATTCCCACCGAGCTTACCCGATGTAAACTCAAGAGATTAAGCTTACGTAATAATTCTAACACGATAAAATATCATAATTTAGATGTCAGTATAGTTAATAATTAAAGAGAAAAATACAGGGACCGTGTTTTTAAATTTCTATAATTAAAATTGGGTATAAATTTTATTTATTTATTTTTTTTGCATAAATAGGTATTTTTAATTTAAAAACATTCTAAATATATCAACTAAGCAAGATTGATTGTTTCATCAGAGAATAATTCATCATTTTTAGCATTTATTTTTATTCTGATTTTAATCACAATCTCATTAATTGTGCAAAAATTTAACTAAATTTACTTTGAAATTTGATCTTGAAAATATTGATATCTTTTACTTTATCAAATTTTATGTAGCCTACACAATCGACATTGAGATACGAAAAGCTTTATTTGCATCACACATGTACAATTTGGGAACGTCCCATATAAATACTCTAACATGGCGGGAGAGAGAAATTAGATAGGTCATAAATTAGGTTAATGTTAACTAGACATAATTTGATGGTCTACATATAATTGATCCCTTGACATTTTGGACATTTAACATTGAGTACAAAGCACTAGGCTATTATTGTTAATTATTAAATCAGTAGACACTATAATACATAACAATTATTTAAGAATGTCAACTAGTGCCATTAAAATTTTGACTTCTATTAGAATAAAGAAGACGATTACTGTATTTGTGGACAACGATGGAATATTTAAGACTCATCTATCATTTAATAAAAATTAACGTCGCATACTTATTTCTTGTAATTATCACTTTTATCTTGATTAGCTGCATTTATGTTACATTTATTGTTGAATTATTATTGAAAAGTCTCTCTAGAACGCTTTGATACCACTTGTGAATAACCGCTCTTGATTATCAAATTGTGCATTCTAGATTATTTATTAGTTTGGCCTTACGTGCAGAATTTACAACTAAATGCAATAAGTCACTTATTAATTATTTCTAGATGGTTAATCATACAAGTCTAATTATCCTATGTTTAAATGTCGTTAGACTTTTCGATCTACTTCATGTAATCTTCAAGATACTAATGTCTTCTCCAACTTCCTACTCTTATACAATTGTCTCTTCTAAGTGGAATTCTAAGAATCACCAATTCCTATGCTTGCAGTCTACCTCTCCCAATACCCAACTGAAAAAATACCTTCCTTAAAGTGTTAAAGAAGTCAAGTGTTTTGGATTCAAGAATTTGATGTTATCCTCAAAGGTGTGGTTGCATGATCTTAAGAATCAAAATGTTGAATTAATGTATGAATAGGGTCTTGGATCACCAACTGATGTTATGAATATGATATGAAGTAAAGGCACAATGAACAACCATTAAGAAAATTGTGCAAGGCTTGGGTATTTATAATTAGGGAGGTTTAGGTATATATTATAGGCCATGTAAAACTTTTCAACATCGCGAACTGGGTTGGCTGGATAATACCGTCGCTCGAGTGAAGGGGCACTGTTGCTCAAGCGAAGGGTCTGTCGCTTGAGAGAAGCTACAGTGATAAGTGAGCAAAAATGCGGTATTTCTTCTTCCTTGTTCCAAATTCGATCTCTAACCCTAACCTACCATATTCAACTATATAATATTGCTCCTAACTCCTTGACTTTTACACATGTTCGATTTAGACCTTTTTATTCACAAAATCGCCAATTACAACACAAAACCTAACAATTATGATTATCGTAGTAGTGACTAACTATGTTGATATAGTGGAATGTAGCTTGAACGACTAAGACGGTCGCCGTGTCTAGTAGTTCTAAACTTGAGATGCATATAATTGTGTTGAATTTACAATTTAATGTTCTTTGGATGCCCTTGACAATTAACGTGTCTATTAATTTAATTATTGTTTGTTTATAATTATTTTTTAAGCACAGTTTTATTTAAGTTAATTAAAAATAATAACCAGAGATTTAATTATGGAAATTTAGTAGGCCGTTCGCTTATTATGGTCTATCTATTTATATTTATTATATGAGAAATTCCATAATTTATTTAGAAAAACCTTTAAATAAATAAATAAAAAGTTGTTAATATGTGTATACATTTGGAAATTTAATTGATTTGAATAACAGTAAAATAAGATGCATTCTACGTTAAAGTTGGTGCCTAATAATTGAGCATATATGTTATGATTTCCTATTGTAATTATTTTAATTGTTTACTTATTAGGATACTTTTCAAATAAGCCAAACAAGCCCCTAAGGAAGTTGTATTCTTGTAGAAATGAAATTTTTGTACATTTTAAATTGTTGGTCTATCGTGCATATTTTATCCTCCAACTTCAAGTCTTGTGAAGTCTAACCTATTTTAATGCATGTTATTAGAATTTCTCTTCCACTCATTATTACAGTTTTTAATCTTTTGTTAGTAAATTTCTTGTGAGTCGTAAGTACATTAGTGTGATTCTGCTTCTCATTATAGTATAACCATAGACACGCGAATGAGTTTCAAAACATATTAAAATGGAAATGAACTAGGAATTTTGGCACATTGAGTTATTTTTTCAACTCTGTGAATTTAAAATGTACTTAAAGTTCTGCATTTGTGTGAATTTAAAATGTATTGATATAGCTAATTGGCCACTTCGTTTTAGTAGTTGATAAATGCTATAGTAGTACTCAAGGTAAGATAACATATAATCGGTCTAGTATAATAATGACATCAAATGATGAGCTTTGAGAATTTTTCTTAATCAATGGTAATTAACTAGGAATTTTGGCACAATGAGTAATAAGCGATTGAGGACATCTCCACTTGCCATCATAAAACTAAACTTCCGAGGAATTCAGGTAAATAATGTAAACCTTTGGTATTTTTAAATGGTCCAATCATCTTCCTCTTCATTTATTGGAAGTTATTCACCTTCTCACCTTCTCATACCTGTCCATCTTCCCTACTTCGTGGTAACCGTTCACGTTTCGTAACTTCTTTGATGGGAAGAAGTATATAAAGGGAATAAAGTGGTATTGGTCCCCAAGCCGAGACTTTCATGAAACTACACCATCGCAGAGAGGTCTTGAAGGCTTGGAAGCACCAAACACAATTCGAAATTCTGCAGTTCAAACGACAATGGCTGGAGGTTAGTTTATGATCTTCAGTTTCCGCATTTGATCTATATGGTGTTGTTTATTCACATGATAGATCGTGATAAAGCTCTAACAGTTGATATCAGATCACTATTTGCCTCTGCCTTGACGTTTTGTTCTCCGCAAAATTTTTCAGAAATTTACTGTAATTTTTTCTAGAAATTTCAAATCCATGTTTCATGTGTTTTTTATGAAAATAAAGCTAGGAATCATTAGGAAATTGATTTCTGAGATTTTTGATATAAAATTTGCAAAATTTGGTGGTCGAAATCATGATATATGACCGGGTTTTTCATTCGAGTCAGAACCAGGTCTAAGTGACCCGGCATTTGTAGAAGACGATCTGTTCATTTAAAAAAAAAAAAAAAAAACCTGGCATTTCAGAATTTTGCAGGAGATTTGCAGATTCCTTTGGTTTTAAAATATTAATTTATGTTATTAAAGGACCATATGGCTGCCACTTGCATGATATATATGTTTGCATTGAATATGATATGACCTACACATGCATAACAGCGGGCAAACTTGCATGAAAATAGTATCAATTTGCATGAAATAGCAGGCAACTTGCATGAAAAAGGAAAGTTTAGTATTGTTTAATATTATTGTTAATTTAATCTTGAACCTGCTGCAAAGAATGGTGTTTAAATTATTTATTTATGTTGTTTGTATGTATAATTTTTATGGTTTATTATGCATACATTATTCAGTTAAATAATTTATACACGTTAAAATTAATTCTAATGAAGGCTCTTTATGAATTTAATTTGGATATTGATGTGCTTATATTATTTATTTTCGTTATTTGTGTGAATAATTTATTATACATGCATATTAAGTTGAATAATATTAGTACTTTAATGTCCAATTTTATATTAGCATTGCATATGGTTTAGCAATAGTTTGAGCCTAAAAATTTAGTTAATGTTTGGTGATCCATATAATTTTAATTAATTAAGGAATAGCCACATCATCTTAATTAATTGAAATTAAATATTAAGGTTCATTTGGGATCACGTTTGGAGAACAAACATTAATTGTGATTAATCATAATTGATATGGTAAATCTTATCCCACAGGAATTTTTATCGTATTATATGTGATTAATTAGGATAAAATATCAAACTATATTTTCTAATTTGCCCACAGATATTAGAAAAGAGAACATAATTTGATAGTTTTATTGTGAAGTTAAGATGGATCTAATTGAATTAGAACTTTAGCCCACAGGCAAGTTTTATGTCGCTAGATTAATGTTTTGCATGTTTTTACATTGGTAAAACATGTCATATGTTATTTTAGCTTCAAATTTTGTAATAATGAGCATGTATGTTTGAAATATTGCAGTTATTCAACCAATTAATTTCTCTGATATGAAATGCGATGTTCCTGAACTTAAGGGTGACAACTATAAGGCTTGGAAGGAAAGGATTCTCCTTCACTTAGGGTGGATGGACATTGACTATGCTATTAGGAAAGACGAACCACCTAAAATTACTGAAACCAGCATTCCAGACCAAGTTGATCTTTATGAAAAATGGGAGCGATCTAATCGCCTTTCAGTCATGTTCATAAAGACCAAAATATCTGCTGGAATTAGGGGTTCTGTCGAGCAATACGACAATGTTCGAGAATTGCTGAAGGCAATTGATGATCAATTTGTGACATCAGACAAGGCATTAGCAAGCACCCTAATTATGTAGTTCTCATCCATGAAGCTCACCGGAATTAGAGGCGTGCGTGATCATATCATGCGCATGAGGGATATAGCGGCTCAACTGAAAGCGTTGGAAGTTGAGATGTCAGATACTTTCCTGGTTCACTTCATTCTGTACACTCTACCCCAGCAATATGGTCCCTTTAAGATCTCTTATAACACACATAAGGACAAATGGTCAATTAATGAGCTGTTGACCATGTGGGTTCAAGAGGAGGGAAGGTTAGCAATGGAAGAGGGTGAGAAGGTGAACTTGACAGTTCCTGAAAAGAAAAAGGATCAAGCCAAACAAAAGGGAAAGGGCAAGATTCCTCCCCAGTTGGACATCAAGAAGGAGTTAAAGTGCTTCTTTTGCAAAAAGAAGGGGCACATAAAGAAAAATTGCTCCAAGTTCAAAAACTGGCTTGACAAGAAAGGTACTCAACTTTCACTTGTTTATTATGAATACAATATGATAGATGTTAATCATAACACTTGGTGGATTGACTCTGGTTCTTCAATCCATGTGACCAATTCCTTGCAGGAATTAC